ATACTAACTATAGATTATTTAGCAAACCTGATGTGTTTGTCATGAAATATGCCACCATCGTATCCTCTGTCAATCCATGGAAACTTTATAGAAAAAGGATGCAGTTCTGAGGACATATTGCTAGTTCAGAGCATACTGACATTATTTTATCTTGGGAAGCACAAGCAGTCAATGTTCAAGGTCTCTGCTTTTTGTTTAAAAAAGTTGGGGTTTCGTCTTTCAAAACCCCAACTTTTTTTGATCAGTTGGATAAAAAATTATTTTTATCCAACCAATCAAATAATCCAGGGGGTTGGGATTTAGTTTGAAAAATTGTTGAAAAATGACGCACCCTATTATACATCCAAATAAATATTGATTATATAATATGTATATATTGATTTATTGTTTATGTGTTATGTTATATTAAAATGATACAAAAAATTTTGTACATATAACAGCTCATTATTACAATATTAGAGCAATAAATATTTATATTTAAATTTTTTAAAATGAAAAACAACATATTTAATAAGAGCTGATGATTGCCATGTATTGCACGAAACTTTAGGTACTATTAAAAATGTCATTTTTCTTGAAAAAAAATTTATCTATTTTTCTACATATGTACTTCTACATATATATATATATATATATATATATATATATATATATATATATATATATATATATATATATATATATATATATATATATATATATATATATATATATATATATATATATATATATATATATATATATATATATTATATATATATATATATATATATATATATATATATATATATATATATATATATATATATATATATATATATATATATATATATATATATATATATATATATATATGTATATAACATATATTATATATAGTTATTGTCATACTTATTATTGAATAAATGTGAAATCTGTTTTATTTGAATGTTTTAGCTACCAAAATATAAAAACAATCAATCTTTAATGATTGAGCGCATCCTCAATGTGTATGCTCAAGTTGATAAGGTTTTGATATTATTATTGTGTTTTTATTTTTGTTGTATATTTACCTTGTTTTATTAATTTTAAATTACTTTCAATCATGAATAAATCAAATTTTATTTGAATTTTAAAATCATTTTTAAATATTTGTAGTTTAATTTTATTAACTAAATTTATATGTTAAATTTATAATTGGCATAAGACTAAATGTAGTTTTTTAATATTTTTTTTTTTTTTTTAAATTAGTGTTTTTGTATTTTTTCTTTATTAACTAGTCTTATCAAGCCATCAATGTGCGTCTAGTAGTTGTTGCCATTGATTTCCTAAAAACGAATTTTGCTGCAGACAGTTCATCAAATCATCTAGAGAAATTTAAGAACTATATTAACAATGAAATTAAAAAAAAATCTTCTTACGAAGAAAAAATTGATTTTGATAGTGCTGGGCTTTTAATGTGAGTACTTGCTCTATTTTAGTGAAGATGAAATAATAATCATAAATAACAAAGGTATTATTTTTATTTCCCTTATTTTTAAGGATAAGGGAGATAAAACTCCCTTATTTTAGGAGGTAATATGTAAAAAAAACAAAAAACAAACTTAAACTAAGCTAATGATAAGAGTATAAAAGTTGTTTTTTGGTCTAACATCATTACTTCTCTTGAAAATAAATAGAAAGCTGAGTTCTACATAGAAACCAGGTCTTCTTGAGAAACCATAGAAACCAGGTTAAAAATTTGATCAAATTTAAAAAGGCAGATCACCTGAGAAAAATTTTTTTTCCATTTTAAAAATAAAATCTGGTTCATATTTCCACAAAAATCCTACAGCTTTTATTTACTCCCTTAATTTGTTAAAGTTATTATTCATACAAATAGATTAATAATGCTAAAAAAAATTTGTTTTACAAGATGTTAGGCAGCCCTGTGGGGTTGTTATACATGTTATTTCCAAATGCTCATATAATTGAAATGTCCAATTTAAGAACAACAAAGTTTTAGTTCTCCAGCTTAAGTTTGACATATTATATACAAAGTTTTATTATAGTTTTGAAGTTTTTTGCAAATTAATCATTTTTAGGTATCATTAAAAATAAAAAAGAAGAAATGGTAACATATTAATAAAATAAAATTTAAAGAAAATTGCTATTATAAAACTCTGTTTTAAAAACTTAAAAGAAAATTGGTATTTTCTGCATCATTCTGCTTTAGTTTCACCAACTAAAATTAAAATATATTTAAACAAAAATTACTTGGGATTTCCCCTGCAAGTAGTTTGTAAAATAGGTAACTTTAGTTATGCAATAAATTGTTTGCAAAGCCTTTTAACATCATCAAGTACTATGTAAAAATGTTAGCAAGAAGATTAATTTTAAAAAATAAAAAGTTTGTTAGATGTTACATCTCCAAATGATGTTACACCAAAAGTTTAAATCAAAATTTGTGTGAATCAATGAATTTTTTACACCTCAACCTTTTCTTCTGGCTTAATAACAAAACGTTTTATTTAAGTTAAAAAATAAAATATAAACAGTTAAGTGAGCATTTTCTCATGTAATTTTGTATGTCAATTATATAAGAGAAGAAGTAATGTATAATTTTGTTGAAAGTTGTTTTTTGAACATTTAATTTAAAAATGAATTTAAATTAAAGATTTAAAAATGCAATTTAAAAAAATAAAAATTAGATAGGGAAGAATGGGTCATCATAATACAATATTGTTTTTAGCTTTGTAATAATTTTTTTAATGTCTTATCACTGTACCCCACCCATTATGGAAACTATGAGGATCATTAAATAAGTAAAAAAATGAATAAAATGTAGAGAAAAGGCAGATTTATATCAAATTGCATTTCAGAAATCAAGATAAAATATTGTTTTAAATATCACTCTAAAGCATTTTTAGAATTTTTTATGACACAATTGAGTACTATTTTACAGTTTTAGGGCCCCCCAAAAATGTTTTAACAATATACCCTATATTTCCTAATAGATAACAATTGCTTTATTTTTAATATTAACTTGTTTTTTAAATGATTTTGTTTAATGAATTAAAGAGCCTATGGGTTTACAAAAAAGTGTTACTAAAAGACCCCTCAAATAAAACCCCTTAAAACTTATTAACTTGGCAATATATCGTTAGAAAACAGAGTTTAATTTTCGTGGAGCTTAAAAGCTATTCATGGATATCATATTTATCTTTAAACTGATGCCATAAATGTTTATTACATGCTAAAAAGACCTTTTTTTTAAAATTTTATACTCAGTGCAGCAATTATATGGAGCAGGAGAATGGAATATATGAGTAGGAAGGAAGAGAAAGGCAACATTATTATAAATTCCTAATTTTTTAAAAATGTTGTAAAAATTTATTCCTAGCTGACACCCTGGTTTACATTGCTCATATTTCACATGCAAATATGATTTGATTTAAGCGGCTTTAACATCTTTCTTTTTAATAAAACATTTTTTAAAGTTAGTTCATCCTCTCTTTGCTCTTGACATTTTAATTTGCTCAAGACATATATATAGCTTTTGACAAAGTTTGGCATGCTGGTATTCTCCATAAGTTTGCTTTATATGGTTTATCTGGGAAAGTTTTTGAGAATATCATATTGTTTCTTTCTAACCACTTTATTAATGTTATTCCAAATGCCTGCTCTCTTCTTTATTTCCAGTAACTTTTATTTCTTTATCTAAATTAATGATCTTCCCAACAACCTTACATTTAAAGCAGCTCTTTTTGCTGATGACTCAACTTTATACTCCTGTCTTGACAAAAAGTCTTCTCTTTTCAATTGCTTAGAACAGGCAGACGATCTTGAATCAGATCTCACTTCTGTGATAGATTGGGACTCACAGTGGCTTTTAAATTTTAACTAAAACAAAACTTATTTACTGCAAACAACTATTGCAATACCGTCAACATTCCTAATGAATGGCAACCCTCTTACTGAGTCCTCTTTTTTTTGTTTTCTTGGATTATCATTTAAAAAAGTAGGACTTTTTATCTAAACCATATATAGAATCCGTTGCTAAATTAGCAACCGCTAAGGTTGCTTCTCTTTATTGTGCTTGCTATTTTTTAACTCCTGATTCCATTCTCTACCTCTATAAATCTCGTATTCGTCCCTGTATTAAATACTGATATCATATTTGGGCTGGTTCTTCTAATGATGCTTGTTCTCTTCCTGACAAGGTCAAAAAACATAATGTAAATGTAGTTAAACCTGCCCTATCTGCTTAGCATTAGCCTCTTTTCCATCGTCCTCAAGTTGCACCTCTTTCTCTTTTTTACAAATACTATCATGCTTGCTGCTCAAAGGAGCTATCATCTTTAGTTCCATCAACTAAAATTTGTTCCCTCTTGACTCTTCTTCAATAAAGTCACTTTCACATTTTTCCCTGTATCTGTCCTTGTACTACTATTTTTCATTTTCTCATGAAACTTTTTCCATGTTGGAGTAGAAACAAAGTACTTTTATTTAATTTTCTAATTTAGTTATAAATATAATTCCATAAATATGTCCCGCATAAGTGCTAATGGAGCCTCAAAGAAGAAAGGCAGACAATTCTAGACCACCATGTTCAAAATAATTGAGGGAGCTTCTGGTATCAGTTGCTCCATATGGTTTACAAGCAAAAAGCTTTGCTGATTTAATAACTATTCCAGAAGTTCAGCACATTCTTGGCTATTATTACCATTTAGTTAACACACACCCTGCACCATCAAAAGTTGTTATACAAATAATAGTGAAGGATTTTGAGCAGCTCTGGAATATGAAATTTAGATTACCGTCAGTAACTAAAGCTGGCATCACAAAAAAACTAAATAAACTTGTGGTTGAATATAAAAAATGTTTAAAGACAAAATTAACTATGGCTTTTCTTATGCCGTTTAAAATTCTTGACGAAAAAAGAAATATGAAGAGCAAAAGACAATTGTTTTATAACTATTAAATAGCTTAAAGAAAGAACTGTGTATCCACGAGTCAAAAAATTATTGAGCATCCTGCTAATAGCCAGTTGATAATAAAAGCCTGGATTATCTAGAGCATTTATATACAGAATCAAGCTCTCAAAATGATGATGACTCTGATGCTTTTGAACCTTTGTTCGAGCCACCTAAAAAGAAACTTAAATCAAAAGTAGGTAATAATACTTCTCAAAATAAAAATTATTACTTTTTTTGTAAATATATTTTCTTTGTTTTTAATTAAAGGCAATGTCAGTTGCTGTGATGTGCCCAGAAACTGGAATCTCTACCCGCAAAGGAGCTAAAGTAACTCACTCATTAAGTTATTTCCATGATGATATTCCCACTCCACATCAATCTGCTATTTTTATAGCTGGTAAAAGGTTGCAATTCATAACTCTTTTTAAACTTAAGGCAGCTTTGTCAATTGAGACATACTTTATTTTACATTTTGATGGGAAAGCTTTGGCACCATATGATTACGATATTAAGAAAATGGAACAAATTTTTTGGTACCTTCGCCTTAAAACACTACATAATAGTGGAACTTCTAACAATTTAGCAGCTATGTTAAAGGAAACGTTGTTAGAGTACAATGTTGTCCATAAAATATTCCTTATCATATGCGACACCTGCTCTCTTGATTTTGGTTCGTAAATTTATAATTATTTTTTATTTATAAATATGTATGATGCAATAAATAATTAAATTTTATTTTAGGTAGAGCTTATGATGGTTCTGGTGGAATAATAGGCATTTTAGGAATGGAGCTATTTAACAGACATGTTTCTTAAAATGGGTTTAAGGTTCACATTTTAGACCTTGTTTAAAAAAAAATGATAATTTTCTGTTTACCAACACCATCAAAATCACCTGCTCTAACTGATTTTAAACTTATAAAGAAACTAAAAGATAATTACCCAAAATTAAAAGAATCATACAATATTCTGCATAAAATATCTTATCCTCCTCTTACTGTAAAAACTTGGAGAGATGATTATAGACTATTAGCTAGGTTTGTTTTATTAAACTTTTTCTTTTTCAACTTCAATGATATGTATGCTTAATATATCCATATTATGTACGTATTTTTATCTTCAGGTTATGCATTTCCTTCAGGCATTACTTGGATAATAATATTTTACCCAAACTGGAGCTACCAACAAAATTGCTATATTTTTACTCAGCAAGATGGAACAGCAAAGCAATTTATATCTTACTGGGCTAATCCCCAAAGAAAGGCAATCATTAAAAGAAATAGCTAAGTTTATTAGCTGTTCTTGGTAACATGCATGTTTTAAAATGAGAGAGGAACCCAATTGGGCAAACCTGAAAGAGGCTAAATTAGCCTGCATTGCTGCCCAAGAAGCTCTGACCAGATATATTCTTGGTGTCGATGTCACATTAAAAATTGTGCATAAAATAAATGAGGTTGCTGAGAGAGGACTTTGAGCTATGGACATCCGAGCTTATTCTAAGTCTGATGATGTTCTTGAGAAACTTTTCTTAACTGAAATGTTTATTAAAATGTCTACAATAATCTAACTTTTTAAACATTATTTTACTATACTTATAGTTTGTACGGTGAAAAAAAAATAAAAATAAAAAAGGATTTTTTTCTTATTTCTATAAAGTAACTTTGTTTTTTGACCTAATAAAATTTTTTAAAAATTCATTTTTTTATTTAACTTGTGTTTTGGACACAATTATTCATGTTTTAGAAAAGGTTTCACATAGTATTTTTAAAAAAGTTATTATAGCATCACCCTACCCTGCATGCTCTAAAAACTTTTATTTATCTATTTTTTTTTCCTGCACTTCAATCTTTTGCTAGCATAGTTCTTGAAAACTCATCATTTTGATAAAAAGTTAATTACTAACTGGTTTGTTTCTGGGGAAAGAGGGTTTCTATTTTTTTTTCCTGGCAATGATGGAGTCACTTGCACAATTTTAAGATGTCTTGAAGTTTGAATAAAATGCTTTGACACTTCAAAGTAACTTGAAATCTTTTTCATATCCATTATTTTGGTGTGTTAAGTGTAAAAATTTGCAAAAGTGTTAAAAGTTACAGAAATTTTCTTTATGATTTTATAAATTCTATAGTACCCAACTCTTCAGTTTCTGCTGATTTTTTGTAACATTTGCTACAGAATTTTCGACCCGACATTAAATAATTTAAAAAAAAAACTTTTGCAAGTCTAGAAAAACCTTTATATTGCTTAACAACACAATTTTAAATAAGTTTTAGAATTAACTTATAATTTAACCATGAATCTCAATAAAATATTACTTTTAATTAATATATTAACTATAATAATATATTCACTATAATAAATGTTGAATTACCTTTTATGTCTTTTTTTTACATGACATGTGTGTTACAAAAAGGTTGCAGCACTTTGTAATTTTTCCCTTAAAAAAATTTTTCATAGACATTTTCAGCATATAATTTTGATTGAACTAAAATTCTTTTAAATTTGCTCGACATATTATTTCTTCTTGCTGTTCAAAGAAAGATCTTTAAGTTGAATAAAACCATGTTTTCTAGTAAATCTACTTTTGTGGCAATAAATGTTGAGAGTTTTTCCAATGTCGCGTTTTTCCTTATTCCTTATATTTATTGTTTTTAATATCATTAGCTAAAAAACAGCTAAATGATAAAATTCTTGATGTATTCATTAAAAAAAAGTATAACATCAACATTATTTTGTAAAATGAAATCTCCATGCAGGACTGTACCTAGGTCCAAAATTTAATGAAGGAATATTGACAAGATAATGTCAAAAAAAATGTCTTTAATTAAATTTAAAAGTCTTTGATTGCGTATTAAGGAGAAATTTTTATTTTCATTAGGTTTTATTTCATTTAATCTTTTTCTTACTTGAAATTTTTTTGCTAAAAATAACATGCATCCCAAAATAAAGATAACAAATTAAAAAAAAAAAAACTTAAATTAACTGATATTTTAATAATACTTTCAATAATTGTGAAACTTAATTCTAACTTTCAATATGAAAATTATAACTTCAACATTGCAAAGATGCAACAAAGAAACACCTATTTGAGTTGCAAAACATTTATTAAACTTTTTTTGAGTTTTTGAATTCCCTATATTGGTGCAAATTTTAATTTTTTGAGATAAGGGATTATTTTCAAATAATAATATAATAATAGATGTGATGTACATTCAGTGATCTAGCTATCAAAAACTATAATATATATGTAAACAAAAAATGAATAGTGTATTAATTTTTTTTCTTATTTACATAAGAGGTGTTGTGTAAGAATAATGTTGAAATTATTTGCTACATAATGTTGCAACCTTATAAATTATTGTCAATCAGGATGACTATGAACACTTTTTAAACATTTTTGCATCATAAGAGAAAACTGTTACATTTTACATCAATACATATTTTTTTTAACAGAACATTATACTGTCCAGCTTTCTGGAAGAGTTATCGGCCTGATCAACATTATGCAGTAATTATCTTAATTTTCTTACTTTATATTAGTATTTTTAAAATAGTAAGATTAGCTTCCATCGACAATCTTTATAAAAGTGACAATTGACAATCTTTTTAAGAATGATCAGAAACAGGAAGTTCAGCTAATCTAACTTGGATATTTATAACTTAAATATTGTAACCAATATTTAAAATACTTTTTTATACAAAATTACATAAAATAATTTAGCAATTATATCAAAATGTTTAAGATTAGAGAGCAATGATTAGCCAATTCAAGATGATATTGACACTTCATAATGTTTTTATTTTTTAAATTACGGGGAGATTTGTTTTGAAAATGGATTTGTGCCTAAGCTTTGATTGTTCTTGAAATATTTAAAATGAGTTTGTTAATAACTATTACAGTGTCTTCACCGCCAGATTCATTTTTTTTACTTGAAGTTGATTTACGAGCTCAGTTTTGCAACTGAATCAAAGTAACACAATATATAGCTCTATCGCATGTGTTTCTTCACCTTTTAGCAAACTTGGTACTGATGTTCACTTTTAACACGCTGTTCAAAGTAACCCCTGTTGACGGTACATGTTGTAAACTTGTAGCTGATGTTTAAAAATTCAAAGCCTGTAAAATAGACAGATGAGCATGAGTATCATTTTTACAAACAAATCTTGTCCTTGCGAACTGAATACAAGTTTTCAACATGTTCTCTCATTGAATGAAACTTGCTTGCACATAACATAATTTTTTTTATGTTTTAAAGTTGTATGCACTTAATAAGGAAAAGTCTAGTAAACTGAAACTTTTTTTTTTTTTTTTTGCCTGACAACATTCCATTTCTAGACAGTGAATAAACTTTAACAATTCTTATATATAGTATTTTGCTTGTGGCTTTGTACTGAAATTTACAGTTTACAACATAAGCTTTAAAAAATAAAAGATCAAATACCAATATAAAATGACATCTATAGAATGCTTGTTTGGAAATATAGACATTTGAGAGGAGAATAAGGATACTTATTAACCAGTAGTGTCTTGTACTTTGAAATATAGTTTAATAGAATAATTTTTATTTCTTTTAAAAGTATTTAACTAATTTAATGTTTTAATAAATATTTCAATAATATTAATAATAACTTGCTAAATGTTTTGAAAAAATAATAAATAACCAACTTGCTACAAAAAAAGATTGATTAATTTTGGATATATTCTAAATACCATTTTGTATATAAATACAAGAGTGTTTACAAGAGTAATTACAGCATAAAAGTTGCACTTGCTGATAATAGAGCATTTATAAGTGTTAAAATCAGAGTTATCAGTTGTAAAGTTGGATATTTTTAAAAAACCCAAATATATTTTGGGTTTAATTAGGTTTTTTTAATGTGGGTTTTTTTGGGTTGTGTTTTTTGGCAACCCTGATATATATATATATATATATATATATATATATATATATATATATATATATATATATATATATATATATATATATATATATATATATATATAAATTATATATATATATAAATTATATATATATATATATATATATATATATATATATATATATATATATATATATATATATATACATATATATATATATATATAAATTATATATATATATATATATATATATATATATATATATATATATATATATATATATTTATATATATATATATATATATTATAGGGTACGAGTTCTCTTCAAAATTGTTTAGCACAAAGAATTTAAATTCTTTTTCCATATGTTTTTCCTGAATATTTTCTTCTTGACAGAATTCATATCAGAAATAATTGTTGAAAAGATTTATGGAAAAATTTAAAGAGCTAATATGAAAATTGTATTGATGTATTTAATTGGTTAAAGTAATTTGAATAATCATAAAGTCATTTGAATAATCAACTAGTAGCTTGTATCTTAGTAATAGTTGATTTAATTAACTTTTTAATTAATTTTTTTTGTTAATAAAAATAATGTTTTTTTTTCAGTCATGAAGGGTGGAAGGATGCTCGTGGCTTGGCCTATATAGGAGGAATATGCACATCTGATTCAGTATACTTTGCTCAAGTAAGCTTTTAAATAATTTTTTTTAATTAAAGTTCTATTCAATAAATAAATCTTCTATTTACTCTTTTACCATAGCAGTAAAAAAAACATAGGAATAGCCTATATATAAAAACATATATATACAATGTATATATAAAAACATATATACAATGTATATACAAAAACATATATATAATGTATATTTCATAGTGGTACTACGAAAGCATAAGCGAAACTACTATTGTAGTTGGTCATGAATTAGGACATTCTATGGGATTTAATCATGATAGAGAACGTAAGTGATTTTTGATTAACTAACTTTAACGTGATTATTTATCATACTGCTATAAAAATATATAGTAACTTGTGGTGAAAAATATAATATATATATGTGTATATATGTGTATATATATGTATATATATATATATATATATATATATATATATATATATATATATATATATATATATATATATATATATATATATATATATATATATATATTTTTTTTTTTTTTTTTTTATTTTTCCAACATACTAAAAAATTTATGAAAAAAGCAACTGTTAGTTAGTATAATTACTGTTTTATATTACTAAAAATATTGACTTCAATCTGAGATAATTAACAGAAGAGTTTAACAAATAAAACATGTTTGCAATAGCAGCATTATATAAAAATATCTATTTCAAATTAACAAAATCTGATAAACATTCTTTGAAATCTGTTTTTGATTTCCTACCAGAATGTTTTGTCTCTGATCCTCAAAGTGTGAATAGTTCACAAACTTTTGCATACGTCCATTGTTTCTTTCAGAACAATCATTTGTGACACTTAGTTATTTTATAAAAAAGACAAATTTCTTGTGCAAGGGTATTGACTCTAAACCTTTTTTATTCTGGCATGCTTCCAACCAAATATTTGTTTCTTTTACTAAGTCCAAAACAACAAAAAGAAACCAGCTTTTACAGGTAAATTTTACGGAGTAAAATTTTAAAGAGTGAGATTTTAAACTAATTAAAAGTGGAGTTCCTACATCAATATCCCATTCCTCCTTGATGATTTTTGCTACTTTGAATGAATTGGAGTCAGCCAATACTGAATTTTCAGCAAGACTGGATTTTAAAAACTGTGGAACATAAAATATAACAATCATTAGACAAACTTTAGAGACTAGAATCTAATGGTCCTGATTTAAGTATTTTATAACTGGCGTTGTCAATTCCAAAGCCATGTGATATAATCTGCTATGAATCTAGCTTCATGACAGGCACCTAATTGATGAATTCTAAAGTTTTTTAGCTTTTTAGACTGAATATTAAGATAGAAAGCTAAGTATTTTACAATATATCTGTTATCATCTTGTGGGAAAATCTCAAATTCAATAACAAATTTAATATATGTTTTCGCAAGTACATTTGATAAATTCCAGTACCAATTATGAAAGTATTCTCATCAAACTTTTTAAAACTAGAAGAGACACCACAAGTATATAAAAATGGGACAAAATTTTCTCATTGTTTCTTAAAGTTGGAGTAAAGGGCCTTTCGTGGACCCTTGGTGTTATCTCCAGTTATTGTTTGGTAAATATGTTTAATATGTATTTCATGTATGTGGTGTCGACATAATAGTCACAATAAAGGTTTTTAAAATACTCTTGTCAATATTATAATTTCACCTTCTTTCCAACAAGTGTTGGTTGCTGTAGTATCAACACAAACAGCAAATACTTGGTCTGAAACTTCAAAATATTCTTACAAATTTTGAATTACTAATGCTTGATCAGATGCTTTACCTGTGTCACTCGGAACAATTCCTAGAAGAAGATTATTCTTGTTTTGAAATTCAGGACTAGTAACAGGCATAGCAATTCTATCTATTGTAACTGTTTGTTGGATTTCCTTATACAAATGTTGTAACTAGTTTGCCATCAAAGTGTAGGAAAAAATTTTTTCCTTATTTCCTTGATATAATTCTGTCTAATTTTATTTCCATGATTATGAACAACCTCATAACGCTTCAATCTGAATGTTTCTCTATTTATCTTAATTTTTTATATATTTACTCCTTGGTAGTTCATAATACTAGCTATAAACATTGTTTAATCTTGTTGGCTTATGCCAGTCCTTACACTGAGAGGAGTTGTAGCTGCAATTAGGTTATCTTGAATACTTTCTTTATTGACAAGGATTGAATTGAATCTTAAAATAAGTGGTATGTTGTTAATTTTCTTTTTTTTATTTGCGTTGCTTGATGTTTTTTGTTGAAATTTATCCTCATCAGAGTTACAATTAGTATTACCTGCCATCAATGCTAGATTTGAAAGATCTACGACAATATTAGCAAAAAATGAAAATGAAAAAGTACACTCACAGTTTATTCTATAAAGTAGTATACAACACACATGTAAAATATACAATTTAGATTTTTCATGATAAAAATTACCTGATTCAAAATATACCAGAATGATTTTTTCTAACTAATAATAACTGATAACTTTCCATCAGCATTTTTAATTGAGGGTTCTAAATCTTTTAAATCTAAGTAATTGTTGTTTTCGTCATTATGATATTCAGCCTCTATTGACATTTTTTCTTATAATCTATATATCTACGGTATCTCTTTTGTCTACGTACAATCTTTTTTTCAAGTTCTTTATCTATATGACCGCTTATAAACTGCTGGCATTTTTCTGATTTTCCAAAAATGCTAAATCTTCCTCTTTACTCTCTTTGTTTCTTAATATATCTTGACTGAGTTGCATAAGCTCATTAATATTGGGTTTTTACAATGTCAAGAAGAGTCAACATGATTGCTTGAAATTCTTTAACTAACTTTTCTTTGGTGTCATTTTTCCAAACTAGCAACTTTCACTTGGTCATTGGTTCCCATATTTTGTAAAGTTTGACAAATTTTGATAATATTTTAACCTCTCCAATAATGTAGTTTGTAAAACCACAGGACTCCCAGATCTTCACTATTTTTCTAAAAAGACACAAATCTCCATTTTTCCTGATAACACATTGTTTTTCCTTTGCATTTTATGTTGAAACTAGATCCCATAGAACAAAAAAAATTATCATAAATAATTTAAATCGTTTTTATCTACTGCTGATTAAATATTGATAATATCTTAGAAGTAACCTATTAGTTGGAAGCTGATTCAGAAGTAAAAAATAAAGGGGTCTCCTACGACTTTTTTTCAATACTTGATTGCATATTTGTGTCTATATGTTGGCTATAACATAAATAATGTTTAATGTTTATTTTTTATTTATATTTAATTTAAAAACAGTTTTTTAAATTTAAATCCTAAAAGTTAAAATGAGTAATACCTGTTTTAAACCTCACCTGGAACTATGTTTACTACGACTTTTTTTCTATATGCACATTTTTTTATTTTCCAAATGATACATAAATATGTATTTTTTTATTTTCCAAATGATACATATATATGTATTAATGAGTTGATTAACAGGGTGGTGGCAATCGCTTAACTTATTGTTCAGGGCATCATACAACGTATATGAATCTAGTTTATTATTAAATAAATAAATAAATTGTTAAAAAATGTTAAAGGGATCCCTAAGTGTTGATACAAGTTGTGTTCATATTAAAAAATAAAGTGTTTAAAAAAATGTTTGAGCTAATTTTTTTGATTAAAGCTAAATAATAAAATATGTGTATTCTTTTCTTGAAATAAATATTGATTTGAGTTTACAAAAACTAATAGTATAATATTTTGGAATATTCTCTTGAATGAATTCAGGTAACGTAAATGGTAGAGTGAGCTCCAGGTTTATTTGCATCATTACGAGGGTCGCTGATAAATTTTTGTAGATATGTATTTAAATACATTGTTGATTTTGCAGATCTGGTATTAAATTTGAAAGTGGAATATAAATGACTGTTTTTATGTAGACTAAGTGTGATTGTATTGTTAGGTTTGTTTAAAATTTGTTCAAGTGTGCTGAGACATAAAAGATCATGATGTTCTTCAATAGGAAGGATACCATAATAGCTTGCCTCAAGTAGATTAATACCAGCAGCTTTTAGAAGGCGGTTTTGAAAGACTTAAATCCTAGATTTAGTTTTATTGGTTGTTGAGGTGAGAATAACTGCATTGTAAGTAAAGTGGCTAAGGCAATAAGGGTGGTAGGTAAGCATGGGTTGAGACCATCCATCAAATATTCGGAGCTGCTTAAACAGATTTTCATTAGGGGCAATTTTCTTATGTAGACTAGATCAGAGTTTTAGAGTTTTTACTTTTACTTTAAAATTGCAGTGTAACAGCATCTCATTAATTTTGATTTACAGCATTATATGCCTCTTTATAAAGTCTTTTGTTTATAAAATAGTATTAAAACATTCTTTGAACAATACGTCTTAGTGGCTGAAGTGATTAGCTCACAGCGTTCTGAAGTGAAACCCAATGGTTCAAATCCTTGCGCTTTAATTTTTTTTCAATTTCTTTTTCGATTTTTAAAACAAAAAGTAAAAGATTTTTTTAAGTTTTTTTAGATATTTTTACTTTTATAAAGTTTTATTTTTATTTAAAAATTGCATATATTTTACAAAGTTGTTCCATCTTTTATTTATTAAATAGTGTTAAAAATTAGCAGATTAGTGTGCCTTAGTGGCCAAAGAAGTAGTACAATGTTAGGGTTTAAATCCTGTTGCTTGCACATTAATTTTTTTTTAAAAATCTTTTCTAATTTTTTAAAATACAAAATAAAGCATTTTTAAAGTTTTGTTGATGCTATACGCTTAACATATATAAAGATATTATATACTTTAACAAATAAAAGGGAGAGAAGTTTTAAAAAAGGTTAAAATTTCAAAAAACATCAAAACAGCAGAAGAAATATTTTGTGCATATGTCCCAATAGAGATGCTTAAGTTATTGATTTGCATACGTAATTACTTTAATATTATTTAGAATATCTGCTTCAGGTATTAATATCTGAACCAGTGATTAATAGCAATTTGCACAACAACAACCAAAACGTTTTAAATTTTTTAAAGTTAATCATCTTATAAATTATTTTTTTATGCATAACTTTAAAAGGTAGACAATATGTATAGTTTTTCTACCGCTTACTTTTATTTTTTTTTGCTGACCTTTTTGCTGAATAGTTTTTCTACCAATTACTAAAAAATATCTAATTAAGGAATAAGTATGGAAATGATCTGTATAGAACAGACTTACCAAGACTCGTATTTTACAGGTCCGGACAGCTAGTCATATTTGTTTTTATAATTTTTGAACTGAATCCCAAAAAATTATTGTGATACAATTAAAACTAAAATTATTGTGATTATTAAAAATAATATATATGGTTTTAAGATTTCATTTGCGAAAATTGTTTTTCACAATTTTTAGTATAACTTTTATCTCAATTTTTATATTAAAATGTTAGCGTACTTTTATATCTTAATGAAATATATATCATTTGTCAGTGTAAGAAAATATTGTATCAAATTTATTTTGTAAAATTTATTTTATCTACTTGAAGTTTTCTAAATGATAAAATTTTGTTTTACTTACTTTTTAATTATTATTTACACCTATCCCTATTTAAGTCAGTTGATATGTACACTTGGCTTCTCAAATTAAGAATAATTAACAACAATAAAATGCTATCTAGTTATAAATAAACAACAGTATTATTTAAAAGATATATAACTGCTTTGAATAAAATATTTAAAATTAAATAAAATAGTTTCTGATGGAGGACTCGGACCCACTACCTAGACAGCCACCCCTAAAATTAGAGCAATACAACATCCACTACACTACACTAATATTACATCTAATAAAAAATGTTAATGCATTTAATCATATTTCATTTGATGAACAAAAAATGCTTATCTTAAAAAATTCATTAAATAAGCAATATAAAAAATAGAGAAAGTAAATTCTCAAATCTTATAAAAAATCCACAATGGTGTCTTATACTGAAACTGTTATAAATTAAGCGCACATGAAATAAATGATACCGTCTGCAGGTTGCGACATATATTATAAAGACTCCAAAACCAAGAAAAAATAGAGAAGGCAAACTTTCACTATATTGTCAATTTGTTTTAATCAACAAAACTTAGTTCAAACGTTTTTTTTTTTAAATTATTTCTTAATTCATGAACACAACTCACCCTTGCTCTTGGGGATCCCTTTAATTAAAAAAATTATTATTACCATCAAGTTGTTTCAATATATGGTTATATATTAAAACAACTTTATATATGGTTTTGAAGTAGATAAAAGTATAATAAAGATTCATTTACAAAACTCGCCAATTCTACTTGTTCTTTTTAAAACTTGTTTGAACTTGGCTGTTTCAATTTGGATCTTGGTTTTGATGGCTGTTATCCTTTAATTTGCAAAAAGACTTCAATAGCTTTACTATGGGATATGCTTATGTATCAATTTACCTAAATGTTTGAATCCCTTGACAATGCTCTTATGTGCTTTTGCATAGCATCTCTTCACTTGATCATTTTCTGAATATTCTTTATTGTTCTTCTTTTTTTCAAGAACTTTCAGCATTATTGTTTCTAATTTTGTATTCATTATAATTAAAATTAAAAGTAGAAATATCTTTTTACTAGGAAAATTTATTTGATCTTTGTCTTTTTTTAAAATTCTTTCAGTTGATCTTGAATTTGATATATAGTTTCTCTTCTGTATAAAGTAACGTTTATTGATCATAAATTTAACATCTAAATCTTTTTTAAGATTTAGATGTTAAATTTATAATTTTAAGACACTGTAAACAAGTAGTAGTTGCAATGTCTGTAAAATGTATTTCAATTCAAAAGTTAGAGCATTTTCATTTTAAATCATAGTTTCTGAATTTTTTAACTTTAGTTTTAGTTTACTATTTTTATATCCAATTTTGCCCTTTTTTTTATTAAAAAAAAAAAAAAAAAACAAAGACAAAATTTTTTTATTTTTTATTAATGTAATATGCTATAGTATATATATCTATGCTATCTTCAGAAAGCTGAGACTAGTAGTTATGTAGACAACTAAGTAATGTCATGCATAATATTTTTTAAGAATTACGAAATGTCTGATAAATATTTTCTTCTCTCAAAATATTTTTAGAAAATGTTATAGACCAGATTTCTGCCAAAATCTTTTCACTGTTGCATATTTCTAAAGACTCACAAAAAGTCTACCACTGGTCATTTAACTATAGTTACTAAAACCTAGCTCTAAAGATAACTTTGTAAACTGCATTTAAGAACAAATGTATAGCCTACTTTAAGCAAATCATTCATAAAAAATACAGTTGATTGTAGTGTTGTAATTAGACCATGAGAAGTTTGTTTGGTTAATCTAAAATATTTCCATTTTGATCAAATTTCAATACATTTTTCAATTTATCTATAAAAGGTGGGTTTGTTATCATATTTTACAGCAGCATTGCTGAGTTGATTGAATAAATTCAGTTTCTGCTTTGAATTAAGTGTGATAAATAACTTATAAAATAATGATGAAAATTGCGCTGCATTATTTCTCTCAGGAAAATAACGCAATATTGCACCTGCAGTTGTTTCATCAAATATTGCCAATGTATGGCTGACAACTTGTTTATTGTTTCCAAAATAAGTGACTTAATTAATTTTTCTTACTTTTTTTTAGTTCCTGATTATTAAATGATCTTTATGAAATATACTTTATGAAATAAATTGCCTAAAATGTAACCAGCAGTAACTTCAACTTATTCTCTGGAAAAATAAAATAAAAAAGAAGGGGAAAACATATTTTTTTGTATTCAACAAGTTTTTTCTTATATTTTTTATAAAATGGAGTATATCATATAAGTATGTTTTAAAAACTACTTTTATAAACTGAATGATAATTAAAATGTTTTTTATCTTTGTATTCTTTAGAAAACTATGAAAATGCATACATAGGTAAAATCCTTTATAAAACTATGAAAATGCAAACATAGGTAAAATGGTTGTTGGTAACAATAGCTCTTATTTTAAATTCAGTTTTGTGTGCCGAAGTAATACATTAACACACAAAACATCGATTTTTTTTCTTTAACATAAACCTGTTATGCAAACTTTCACCGAGGTTTTCACAACAGAATAAATTTTTGAAGCCCTACAATCATAACAACAAAAACAATTTCTTAACAAAGATTATTTTCTCAATCTTCACCAAAATATTTACCACTTTGATATTGGGCTGCTTTTATGCCAATCTAAAAAAGAAAAATCTTACCCTCAAGAAGCTGGCTATAACTAAATACGCAATATTTGTTAATAAATTTTTCTTTTACAAAACTGTAGTATGTTAAAATAATTAAACAAACTACAGTTTTTTATTATTTTCACACAGTAGACTTTTACTACTGCGAAACCATTTTAATTTAACCAAGTTTAATTATTTGTTATACTTTAAATTTTATTTAAGTACTTTGAATTTTTATATTTTTTAGATAAATACTGTGAATGTTTAACACCACGAGGATGTTTTATGGGAAACAAAGACACCAGGTACATATTAAAGACTATTATTTTTCGCTAAAACTTACTGCTTTTTAAAAGTGATTTTTTGATAATCTTCTAAATTAAGTTTATGAAAGTGTTTAAAAAGAATATAAAAGCAATCTAACCTAATACAGTTTAAATTTGATAGGTATAAGCAATATTTTCAATAAGTTATATATTCTTTTTACAACACTAGTCTTTAAAAGAGAATAACTGACAAACTTTCTTTTAACCAAAAGTTATATATCAATGCTCTTTTTAATGGTTAATAAAAAACAATTCTATGAACAATTCATTAAACAATTCAATAAAACATATCAACAATATTTCAATAACTCCAATAAATCAATGCGACAGTCATCTTGATTAACATTAATCTTGCTTATAAGCTAAAATGAAGTTGTCCAAAGTTGTTTTTCAATTCTTGGAGATAAGTATATGTTGCTCTACTTAAGTGTGGTGATATAATTTCATTATTAGTTTGAAAAGTGGACTTCTAAAATTATCATAATTTATAATAACAACACAAGTATAACTGTTATAAAAAAGTTTATAAAGTTAAAAAAAAACATAAATTATAAAAAAAAAAATTTTAAGCATTGAGAAAATATATAATATATAAAATAATATGTTTCAAGAGATAAGTAAACCAAAAGTAGTCAGTTTCATTTTAAAACATTTCTGAATTTAAAACACTGTAAACAAGTAAACACTTAAGACACTTCAGATTTTAAGACATTGTAAACAAATAAAATCAGAGAAATTCTTTCAGTTGATCTTGAATTTGATATATAGTTTCTCCTCTGTATAAAGTAACGTTTATTGATCATAAATTTAACATCTAAATCTTTTTTAAAATTTAGATGTTAAATTTATAATTTTAAGACACTGTAAATAAGTAGTAGTTGCAATGTCTGTAAAATGTATTTCAATTCAAAAGTTAGAGCATTTTTATTTTCAATCATAGTTTCTAAATTTTTTAACTTTAGGTTTAGTTTACTATTTTTATATCCAATTTTATCATTTTTTTTAATAAAAAAAAAACAAAAAAACAAAGACAAAAAATTATAATTTTTATTCATTACACACTAAAAAAAAATCCATTATATACATTGAACTGGGTAACAGATCAATCCATCTTTATTGCACCAACAGATTTTCTGTTAAAGTAACAGGTTAAAATATTTAATTGATTGAAGTCCGTAGTTTGTTAAAATCTATATAAAAGATTTTAACATCAATATTAGTCTGTTTAAAAACTGTGAAACTATAAAAAAAACTGCTAAATATAAAATACTGATAATTTATAAACTTATGAAACAAACCTTTTATCTATAATATCATTGATGTAAGATGTGATTTAGTGTCCTGTAAACAAAAATAACCTTTTAAAAACTTATTTTCTTTAATATTTCTCTGATGTAACAGGACAGTTTTATTTAAAAATGACAATAACAATGTCAAGAAACAAATAATTTAACTACAATACCTGCAAGTTATTCAATCCGATGAAATAAAAATATGTTAATAAAAAAGATTTGAATTAATGTTAGGTTACCATGTATGTTAAGAAGTAGTGAAAAGATTTTAACTTTGCAATTCCACAAAACAATCTAAAAAAAAACTAAAAGTCTTTTTCGCATTTTTTTATAGTATAATAATTACTTGTGAGTCTTGGAAACTAACAGAGAAATTTATTTAATAAACAGGATTTTGAAGAATGTGTAAATAGTTTATAATTTTTGCTGTTTTTGGTAATAGATTGCTCCTTTTTTTTAACAATAATATGCAATCCATTATGTTTTCTAACAGACTGTTTTTAAAGCATAGCATTTTGTTATAATGGAATAGGACTGTACCTCATTTTGGAATGTAATAAGTTAAATAACTTTTTCTGATCACAAAACATACAAATGTTTTTAATAGCAGGTTTAAAAAAAAAAAAAAAAAAAGAGTTACTTTCCTAACTGTCGTGGCCACCTTGATCTTGAGAATTCAAAATGACACAAAAAAAAAGCTTTGTCAAAGGACATTCAACTTTAACTTGCTTCTTAATATATTACCCTCAAGACAGTGAGTTTATTTTGTAATAACAATTATTGAACTTGTTCAATTGACAATTTACCCCATTGCAGTGCAGTAAACTTATCATCATCATTATTTAAATTCATGTGCATTTGAATTGCAAAGATTGGTTACCCAATAAATACTTGTATCCTAAGAAACCTTTAATATTTTAACCAATATACCAGAGAGGTGAGTAGCTTTTCCTAAATGGACACACTGAATAGGCAGTTTTTATTCATTATAAATTGTAAACTCTGATGGACCACTAACCTTATTCACTGTATATAGGCTTTTTCACTTTGTTTCCTGTTGATAAATTTCTTTATTCCAATTCTCTTTTCTTTATTCCGGCTCTTCATTTCGTAACTTTATCTAAACGACATAAAAAGTTAATTAAATTAATTTAAAAAAGGTTAAAATTGTATTCGTTTAAAAAGAATTGAAGCTTTTTTTGAATTGTTTTTTTTTTTCAATTTTTTTGTTTATTTATTTCCTCTCTTTATCTATATATGATTATTTAAATATTCTTTAGAACAAGTAGGCCTGGTTTCTCGACCTGTAATATGGAAGAGTATGTGAACATGGATCTGAAAAATGGTTATAGTTGTCTTAAAGATGCCCCTACTTATGTATGTATTTTAAATTTTCTTGATTTAAAATACTATTATCTAGTTTAAACTACTATAACAAAAATATAAAATATACAAATATAATAAAATATACAAACATATAATATACAAATATAAAAAGTTTTATGAGAGTTAAAAATTTAAGTTTATTAGGCTTTTATTTCTAAAGTTTTGATATCTTCTTAGTTTTATAGTTGATATATTTAAAAAAAAAATTTAGTCAGACAAGTAAGACTCTTTTATTATAGTTTGAAAACTTTTTTTCACAACACAACTAAGAATCATATCTTGTATTGCTCAATGACTAATGTAGCAGCATACAAACTTCTCGTTTTACAATTGAAGAGCAACACTACATTATGTTGGGAGTGTTGTAACAATAGAAGGAGCTGGTAAACCTTAAATAGAAAATCATCAGACATCAGTTGGTTAACTTAAACATAGTTACAAATTACAAGTTTAATACTTATTTCTATATTTTGATATATATTTTGGTTAGTTTAAAAAACTGAACATTTATTATTCCTTTATGCAATTTAGTCTGGGAAACTTAGTGTCTTTTTAAGTAGTTTGCAGTTTGAATGTAAAAATAATTACAAATTTGAACATGAAGTGAGGCAACTGGTTAGTTAATTTTTTAATTTATGAGTAAAAAATGTTTAAAATAAAGGCTTGTTATTTGGTGTTTACTGCTTATTTAGGAGACCAACACTGAATAAATATCTTTTTTAAAAAAAGAAATTTGTTTTCAATGTTAGAATTTAAAATGCTGCAGATCTACAAATGTTATCTGCCATGAATATTTAACTGCTAACTATAAGTATATTTTATATATGAATAAACGTTGTTTTTTTAAGAAAAACTTTCAAATAATATAAATAAAAATTTTTATAAATATTTATCTATTTATTTACAGTTGTTTACATATTTTTCATAAATAATAAAATCTAAACAGGTTTTAAAATTTTTTTTTTTTTTAATAGTGTATTAATATGTATTAAATAGTATTAAAATTTTAAAAGATTTTAAAAACCTGTTTTAATTTTATAATTTATGAAAAATATGTAAACAAATGTAAATAAAAAGATAAGTACTCGTTTCTATTTAAAAATTAGTTTTTTAAGCTAAGCTCATACAAAAAATGCTATACTAAATATGTATGGCTCCATTTGTTTTCTCTTATAAATTTGTATCATACAATGGTGAAAAACTTGTTCCATATTTTATTCATTGTAAGACACAGAAAGCTTCACTTAAATGTAAAAGAATCAGCATCATATGACCTTCAAGGCAATATATCAAATTCATATTATGAAAAGATTGTTATTTTTTTGAACTCATAAAACATGGATAAAAAAATTAAATTAAGCTGCCAAAAATTTCATTATAATATGTGTTGAATAAAAATTAAGTTCAAAATATAATAAAGAAGAGTCAACAAAACAGTCAGTAATTCTGGGCTTTGAAGGAAGAAGGGTGGGGGGTGGGGAGGTAGTTGAATGAAAAGAAAAATAAATTAAATTCAAGAGTTCTCTGAAGAAAAATAATAACTATAATATTAAAAAGTTTTACTTTTAAACTATAATACTAAATTATTTTGTATTACAGTTATTTTTTAATTATATGTTTATGTAAATTTTTTTATTTTATTTTTTATTTTATGGGTAAAATTAATTTTTTTTTAGTCAATGACAAAAGTATGTGGCAATGGAATTCGAGAAGAAGGTGAAGAATGTGATTGTGGAACAGTAGAGGTTTTTATAATGTTGTTTTAAAAAAAAACCATACTCCTACACAGTTTTCCTTTGTTTCTTAGAAATTTAGTATTTCCTTTGTTTCTTAGAAGTTTTGTTGGCACCTTTAATATCTTCAAAAAATATTATTTTTATAAAAAAAAAACTTTGCTTATGTTTTTCTTCATTTAATAAAAGAAATAAAGTTTCTATTTTTCTTTGTATTTGTTTTTTAATTTGCGCAATTATTATTCAGTTGAAGAATTTTTGATTTTTTTTTTATAAATACTTCCAACAAAGTTGCAAGTGATATTGCAAGTAGTTTCCAACAAAGTTGCAAGTAACAGTTATTTAAGTTAACAGAAAGCAAAAAGCTTTTAAATTGAGAATTTAAAAAACACTGTATGAAGAGATCTTATAGAGAAAACTTAATCAAAAGTTTTTTCAAAATTAAAAGTAAAGTACTGTATTTATGCTTTTTTGTTTTTATACTTAATTTTTATTTCACCTTTTATCTTTCAAGATAAAAGGTAAAATAAAAATTATGTCAATAGAAGAAGAAATATGTCAATAGTAGAAGAAGATGAAAATCGGATCGATTGTCAGAATGTTATTGGCTTAACAGTGGTCAAAGCAATCTCCAGAGTTTGACAAGATTAGATCCATGTACGAGACATTGAATGTTAGACTTGCAATTGTAAATGACTCTATTGGAAATTTTTTAAGTCTGTACAAATATATAAATATATACAAAGATATACAAGATTTTCTGTTCTGAGAACTATTTGACCTTAACATTTGACAATAATTTTTTAATTGATTTCTTGCGATAATAAAAAAATGTTTTCTCAATAGAATTGTTCTGGTAAAAAAGACAAATGCAAGAATTAAAAATAACAGCTGGATAAAAAAAAAAAGTGGAGGTGAGTGAGGCCTAAATTAAAAGCAGCAAGTGTAAAAGCTTCCATGTATTGCTGAACACATAATATTAAGTCGGGAGTGCAGACCAAGTGATCAGTCCAAGGGGCATTAAAAAAAAAACACTAAAAGAATCCCAGTTAGTCCTAAGGTAGATTACTACTACTAGTGGGATGATTGAGTGACTCTGATGAAAAAACTACGAAATAAAAGCTTAAGTGAGATAATAGCATCTTCTCACCAAAAAAAGAACAAGAAGAAACTAAACATAAGTTAAGGCCAGAGAAAAGACACAAATCTAGGTGTATATGATTAAGGTTGTGTGAAAAACAATTCACAAAATTATTTATTTGCTTAACTATCTGAGTAAGAGATTAAGAAAGACTCTTAAAAGTTAAAAAAAGTTAAAATTATCAACTTTAGTGTTAGCAGGATCAGTGGTACTAATGCCAATCTAGTGTGATGAGCAAGTCGCCATCAACAACAAATCAACTGTCAGATAAAGAGACCGGGTCTGATCATTTTAATCAGAAATAACATTAAAAAAAGTGCAGCCTTGGAAATAAGGAGTCATAAATAACGAAAAGAAATGTTGAGTAAAGAGCTGTTAAATGTACATACCGAATAATCAGAGGATTCAAACCTGATTTCACCATAAATTAGTGAATTGATATAAAGCTATATTAATTATATTCCTAAACCAAGCATTTGAGTATTGGAGTCTGAATCACACCTTTAGATCTCAGTGTTGATGGCTAGTATCCTATGAATCACATGAGTGAATCATAGGATACTAGCCATCAACACTGAGATCTAAAGGTGAATTGTTGAATTGCTGAAAAGGTAAAATGCTAAATTTTAAATAATTTCACAAATAGCATTTAGGTCTGGTCAATTTTGATTTAACAGATAAAAAGTTATTTTCATTAGTTGTGATTTTTCAAACTTTGAAAATCACTAATCAGTAAGCTATTTATTTGTTTCAATCCAGCTAATCAGTCTAAATTTGTTACACATGATTTTTTATATTACCTTGACAATTCACAACAAAAGCACTAAAAGGGACACCATTTATGCACAAAATGACACTATTGATCTAACATTTTAGTTGTTGAATCAATCAGTCTAGTTAAAAGCTTGCACAATGTTTAGAAAACCTTATTACTAGCTGGCCTCAAAACCATTAAATTAAGTTTTATACCTGTACTCTCATTAAGAGATAACAAAAAAAATCGTATTTACCTAGAAGATACAAGTGAAAGTAGAGATCATATTCATCATCCTAGGCAGGAAACAATGAAACAAATATACACTCTAAATAAGTTGTGATGACAGTATTGTGACAATAAGATTCATAAGATTTGATGACAGTTATCACAATAAGAGTTATAAGACTTGACCTAAGGTTTGATCATAAAGGAAAAGAGTTGCTACCAAGAAAGTGAAAACTGATGAATAGAATCAAAATGATTGAGCATTCATCTTTTTAAGCAAGAAAAAATGAAACAGAAATGCATCAATGCCAACTTATTAGATATGAAAAGAATGTGAATTTGGTCAATAAAATGCATAGGAAACTTTTTACAAGGTAAATTTGTTTTTATTAAGACACCAACTCTAACCTTTAATCAACCTTGAGCCCTAATACAGGAAGTTATTCTAATTCAGAGTATATTTCTCCTAGTTTTTATTAGATAACATTTTACTAGTATCAGGATGATAGTTTTGGTCCGATGGAATAGATTCTGACTTGTGTAAGATTAAGATATAAGTTTTGATGACATTACTTTTGAAGGGGTCAACTTTCCCAGGAAGGCATTTGTACTATCATTTTAACAGTTTACCTAGAATACATAGACTAAACAATTTTTTAAAAGTTGTTTAGCCTATGTGTTTTTATTTCACATTAACTAATCTACATTTGACCTAACTGAACATGAAGACCAGTTGATTTGCTCGTTTAGATTATCATAAAATTACTTAAATTGCTCAAGATCTTTTGTAATTTATTATTGGTCATATGAGTTGTTCTCATTCATTTTCTTGCCTTTTTAGTTTTACTGTTCTAAAATAGTTTGTTTTTTTAAATTTCATTATACAAAGTTTTATAAAAGAACTAACATTTTGCTACAAACCATTTTCTTAAACTTGTAATGGCACTTATTACAATGGAAATAATCGCAATGAAATTCATAAGATTCGATGAGTACTAATAAGATTCGAAAGCACTAAAAAGTACATAGACAGTATTAAATACTAAAAATATATGCCAATAACTAAAGTATTGAAACAATTTCGTAAGTTTCATACTCTGAAATTCTACACAGGGTGCTAGTATTTTAAAGTTCTACACCGGGTGTTGGCATTTGTATCATTTTTATTAAATTATATTTATTAAATTTAATTATAGTATTAAATTAAAAAATTAAGTATAAACAAATTAAAGTTTTAACAAGAAGATGTCGTAAAACTTTAATTTATTTTAAAGTTTGGAACTGCAGCTATTCCCAAAGAAGCAGTAGTAATAGTACTTGTCCAGAAAGAATTATTAGTTCTGCTGCCAAAAACCTATATACTAAAACAATGCACATGCCTTATCATTACTATTTATCATCCATATAGTGGCATTAACTCTATCTATCTAAAAACTTTAAAATTATTACAAGTTTTTATTAAATAAAATCTTTGTAAATTTTAGAGTCATACTATGTATGACTCTAAAATTTACAAAGACATTATAAAAAGAGACATAAATGATCTCTAAAATTATTTCTTATTTTTGATTTACTTAGTTAACTTATACAATTTTCCACACGCTCTCAATATTATTGCCACTAATGTACCACTTGTGAAGTTCCAGAAAGGGCTGTGCTCAGACCATTTCTCGTTGCCATGGTAGTCAACAGTATGTTGGTCCTTGACCAATCTAGAAGTCTCTTAAACTTGTAATTATATCTATATTAATCTATAAGTCTCATAAACTTATAGACCAATCTAGAAGTCTTATAAACATCAATGACACTTTATTGTTACATCATGTTGTACGCAATGACTTCGATAATTCGTAGGAAGAAGTTAATAGTTTGTTAAGTTGGTCATTAAGCGCTAAAATGTATGTCAACAATGCAAAAACTTAATTGATTAATCTATCATTAGAAGTTTCTAAGGGTTTGCCAATACTTGTTGTTGTCAGTAGGATAGAAACCCAACCTTTTCTCAAACTCCTAGATGTGACTTTACAAAATGACTTTATGTGGAACACTCATTTCAAAAACATCCATCAGAAATGTTGCACTAGAATATCTGGTATCCATCGCCTAGCTATTTTTGGCTTCCCTCCTAATTTAATATAGAAAACTTATCTTGCCTTAGTCTTTTTGCATATGGCTTACGCTTGGCTGATGTTTTGCGATAATTCTAGCTCTCAGTTCATGAAATTATTGAACGTAGAGAAACATACAGCAATCATATGTAACAAGCATCCATGTTCAAATCAAACCTCAAAATGTCTTAAAGGAATCTGCCTCAGATTAATTAAAAAGGTTACTATATTGAATAATCAACCTCTGTGACCATTGTTTTTAGTAAGACCTATAGTACAAAATCTTAGGAATCCATGTATACTGCAACTTCTGCACCCAAAATTATCTCGCATAATAAAATCTTTTGTGAATTTTTTTAAATTCTCATGAATACCTAGATATTGTATTTATTTACAAAGAAAATAATAATTATAGTAAGTATTAAATCTAATAATGTTTCCATAAGTCTAAAGTCTAGTCACATAACATAAATGGGTTTTATAGTAAATTGTGTTTTAGATCATTGAAATAGATATTTAACATAAAGTGTACATCTCAAAAATGAAGCATGTGGTGCATTTTTATGAAGATTGCATACACATCTAAAAATGTGTGTATTTGTAAATTTGATCTTTTGATTCAATGTGAAGTTTTTGCGTGTGGCTTTATATGCTTAATTTATATACTTATTTTGTTGAATTTGAAAATAGCACAGTTCTTCCATATTTTTTTAGTATCAATTTTTGCAAAGTTTATCTTATAGATACATTAAATTTATTTTATAGAATTGATTTACTTGAAAAATACTGCATAAATTAAGACTCATTTGAAATCGTTCTTGAAAATATTTTTGAAAATCAATTTTTATGTTGCAATATCTTAGGTTTCTTGGATGTTTTTAATTTTATGTTTGTATAAAGTTTAATTAGTTTAAACTACAAATGCTTAACAATCTAATTTTGAGAATTTTCATTTATATTTGTATTTCTTTTACATTTATTTATATATTATTTTTAATAATGTAGTTAAAACATGTAGTAAATGAATCGGTGAATGTTAAAAAGGCAGAATTCCAACTATATAAACTTTCGGGAAACTAAAAAAAAATGTGTTTTCCCCTGAAGTAAATTTTTGTTAATGATTTAATAATTTTTTTTTGAAGAGAATGTTTTTCACCTTATAAAAAAAAAAAGTTATTAAACAATTAACAAAAATTTATTACAAGGGAAAATGCAGTTATTTTTAGTGTCTTGAAAGTTCACATTATTAGGTTTCTGCCTTTTTAACATGCACCGATTCAAATATAAATAAATAGAAAAATTGTCTTCTAAACCTAATTTTTAAAGTTTTTATGTTCTTTAAGCTTGTTTACTAAATGTATTTTAATATATGTTTTTAATTTTTAGATGTGCGAAAGAAATGGTGATTTTTGTTGCGAGCCACGAAACTGTGTTTTAAAAGCCAGCGCACAATGCAGTTATTTAGATAATCCTGATTGTTGTAAATCATCCTGTTTGGTAGTTATTTTTTTACTAATTTTAACTTTTTCCGAGCTTACTGCTTTCCCAAACTAAAAATCTTTGTTCAATTATACACATCCACTGCCCGTATGTACAAATAATTCACGCAGTGACTGTAACAATAAAATTTGGAAAAAAATAGGTAAAGAAAAGTAAAAAAAAAGAGAAGATATGCATATTTAAAGTACCTCTCTCTATATAAATAAATGTGGATTTATATATTCATTAATCATAATAATAATAACTATTTATTGCTGAAATTTAATTTACAAATAACAAATAAAATAATTTATAACAAAAGTTTGAATGTTTATAATGTTAAACGAGAGTGTGTAGTAATATGTTTTTTAATAGTACACACTCTCCTTTTTTCAGTTAGACAAATATATTTCAATATATTTGTCTAACTGATTTTTAATCTTAACTTGATTTTTGAATATTTTCACTGATATGATAGAGGAAGCTGACTCCTTACAGTGGCTATTATATTAAGAATAAAATTCTCTCTTAATGGACAACATTAATTCCTTTTTGAATCAAATGGTATTTCTGTATGCAGATTGTTTCATCAACTCTTTTTTTGTTTTATTATTAATTTTTGACGTAGATGTACATCATTTAATTTTAATTAAAAGGTAACTATTTATTGCTGAAATTTAAACAAATAACAAATAAAATAATTTATAACAAAAGTTTTAATGTTTATAATTTTAAATGAGAGTGTGTAGTAATATGTTTTTTATTAGTAGACACTCTCCTTTTTTCAGTTAGACAAATATATTTCAATATATTTGTGTAATTGATTTTTGAATATTTTCACTGATATGATAGAGGAAGCTGACTCCATACAGTGGCTCTTTTATTAAGAATAAAATTCTCTCTTAATGGACAACATGTGCCATTCTCTCTTAATGGACAACAAATGAAAATTTCTAATACATATTAATTCCTTTTTGAATCAAATGGTATTTCTTCTGTATGCAGATTGTTCCCTTAACTCTTTTTTTGTTTTACTATTAATTTTTGACGTAGATGTACATCATTTGATTTTAATTAAAAGGTGGACAATTTTGAAGCAGTAAGTTAAATTAAAACCTAAGAGTTTCTAGCGTTATAATATTAAACTTTTTTAATGGTGATTCATAACTTAGTTGTAAAAGGCTTCTTGTTAAAGTTACTGTTTTTTGAACTTTTTTAAGAGCTTATATAGTTCATTTCTTTGATGGATTCCAGATTGGTGCTGCGCATTTGAAAAGGGGTTGAACAAAGGATTTTTATGTTATTTTAGCAATTAAGATAATGTAGAGTTCAAAAACCTGTTTAGTTTAACGACTATAGAGTTAATATAAATTTAATTCTTAAGAATAAAGAGTTCAAAAACGTGTTTAACCTAGCATTCTATTAGTTCTGTTAGCGCAGTAATTGATATGTTGGCTGTATTTTCCATCAGTAGATGTAAAACGCCTTGGTCTTTTTCTAAATTGGAGATTTCAATTCTAATTCGTATGTTATGATTGTAGTCTAAGGTAGTGTATTCATAGATAAGATTCCAAGATAGTGTATTCATAGATAAGATTTCAAGATAGTGTGTTCATTTTTTTTATTATAATTACTAAATGGCATTATTTTACATTTATTAACATTAAGTTCCGTTTTCCATGCATGACACCGTTTGGCTATTTTATCTATATCATTTTCTAATTCATTTCTTAGTGTTTTGATTTTATCCAGCTTAGAAAGAGTCTTATAATTATCTATTTTAATATATTTTTATATATTGAATAGTTGCTAAAAAAGGTCATTTATGAATATTGTGAATAAAAGCAGTCTAAGTACTGATCTTTGTAAAACTGTACGATTTAATTTTATGGATGTTCATGCAATACAGAGACAAATGGTTTTGCAAAATTAGTTAACAGAGTGTCGACTGGATGTTTGTCATGTGAAGCTATACTAACAAAGTCTCGACACTAGAAAATTTGTAACAACTCCTTTTTGGCACAAAACCATGCTGTTGGGACATGATAACGTTACTTGTTATTAGATTTTTCTTCATAGAGTCACGAATTATACTTTTTTAATTAATTTACTTATGACTGAATAAGCAAAATTGGCCTGTAATTACTTGCAATAAGTGGACTATCACTTTTGTGTGGTTACAAAACGCTTACCTCCATTGCCTCAGTTTGAACTTGAACTTTTCATAAAAATTATTTTTATGATGTTTTTAATAGCATTTCACCATTTTTTGAAATAAATGGACTTAAGCTATCAATTCTGAATGATTTGTGAAAGTTTTCTTCAGAAAGTTCATTATTTATATTACTTGTGTAGACTGATTAAAAATGTTTGTTAAATATATTAGCAGTTGTCTTTTTGTTGGTGTTTAGAATGCCCTGTTTTTCTTGAAACAAATTGATGCTCAAGTTCTATTATAAGAATGAATGTGTGCATATATATATATATATATATATATATATATATATATATATATATATATATATATATATATATATATATATATATATTACAACTTTTATAAACAATATTTTGGTTTTAGTACAGAAAACAAGGATATTTATGTAGGGAAGCAGCCAATGAGTGTGATTTGCCAGAGTACTGTGAAGGAGACAAAGCAACTGTAAATACAGTTTTTTATGTGAATGTTTAGATTATCATTCAAATGTACATATGTATAAAAACAATACTGCTATGCCATTTTAGTGTCCAAAAGATAGGTACCTTCGCAATGGATATTCTTGCAAATCAACAAAGGTATTTATATTACTTTTATATCTTGATATTTGATTGAAATTAAGCTGGTTTGGATATTTGTCAGGTTTTTGAGGAGATTTTTAAGATTTGAATGACTCATTTAGTGTTTTTTATGTTTATTTAATTCAGACTTTTTTTATGTTATTAAATGCTATCTGAGATGTTTAATTGCAGTTACAAAGATAAAATTAAAAAAAAATACAACAGGTAAAGTTAAAAAAAGGAAAAAATATAAATGATTCTAATTCCTTACTTTTGAGTTTTGCAATATAGTGTTATTTTCTTAAAAAAGTCTTTATTTTGCTAATTCTGTTCATTATATTCATTAATATAAAAAAAAGTTTGAAGAAAATAGATTTTTTATCCAAAAACAATTCTTCATAAAGAAAAACTTCACTAAAGTATACAACTCTGTCCTTTATTTTGTTACTGTTAAATAAAACTTGCTGTTCAGACCCATAAAATAGTGGTCTTGGTAAGTCTTTTCCACAATGACCTTTTTTATATTTATTTCAATATTTTTTACACAAAAAAATTTTTTTCAACAAAAATAAACAGGCAATTAAGTAATATTTGAAACTTAAGACTATAATAAAATTTTATTTATTAAACTGTCTTGTTAAGATTTATATATTTAAAAAGCAAAAGAGAACACAAAAAACAGGTCATGGGATGTAGTTATGTCAAATATAATAAAATTTTATTTACTAAATTGTCTTGTTAGGATATATTTGTTTGAAAAGCAAAAGAGAACACAGAAAACAAGTCATGGGATGTAGTTATGTCAAATAAGTCTATCAAGTTATGTCAAGTTAGTCTATCTGTTGGCATTTCTTATAGAAACCTTTTTGTAATAAACTCTTAACAAAATTTTTTCAATTAAGCTGTTTTTAATATCAGTTTCAGTGAATTATTAAATTATTATAGCTGTTTTTGCCAAAAGTTGGCACAAACAGCAACACAAATACTTAATGCAAATGAACACCATCTAGATCATAATCACCAAGTTGATAAAAGTATGAATGATTTTCATTTGTATATTGAAGTATAACAGAAATATATAAAAATAAAGCAAAAAATGACAATATATCTATGCAAAATAATAATTCCAATGAGAAAAAATATATAATTTTATGTGAAAAACAAAAAATATATTTTTCTTAAGATTAAATATAAATTCTGATTAACTTCTTTTTTAAAAGCAAATTACAAAAAATATTAAATTTATCGTTAAAAAAGTCCTTATAAAAGCAATTTGAATTATGTAAAATTACATTTTTTCATTATTATATAGCTTTTAGTAAATGGTATGTGGATTACCAAAACTTTGTTTTGGTTTTTAGAAAACGATCAATATTTAGAAAATTTCTTAATTTTTGCATGTATGAGCTTACAAAAATCAGTCATATGAAAAGAAATTTGACCAATGGATCAAATTGTTATTAAAAGCACTTCTTACTCATTAATTTGTTACTTACTATGTTTAAGAAAAATATATAAATTAAGGATATTTACTGTTTATTAATTTTGAAAACTCAAAAATTTGACTAAATAGATAAGAAATAAAAACTTTGTGAAATGTTGTTTTTTTTTTTGTGTTTTTTTGAATTTTTCAAAATTTATTGTTTCATGTTTGAATTATAAACTTTATTTAAAGAAAAAAAGGCCTAAAAATAAATATTCAAAATAAGATAACCTATATGACAAAATAAAAACCCATATAACTTTCACACATATAAACAAATAATAAATAACACACAATACCACATCATATGACACATAGAAAAGGTTAAATATATAAATTAAGAAAAATATTTAAATTAAGAACATTTACAAATACTATCTTATATGTGTAATTTGTTTAATGACATACCTCATAATGCATTTTTATCAACTTTAAAAACAAATGATCAAACAACCTGGTTTGTTATATTATACAAGTATAACAAACATTTTTCTGTAATTTTATTAGTTATTGATATTTTAAAGTTATTTAAAATCTATAAGAAAATTTGTAACAACTGAGTTTTTAGCAACAACTGGGTTTTTATTAATAACAACTGATTTCCAAAAACAAAGTTGGTTTTTTTAATTATTTATAAAAAATGTGGTGTTAAATAATAAAACAATAATTTTTTATAGATAAGTACATTTGTAAATATAACATTGTTTGTGTAGCATTTATTAAGTGACATACCTTGTCATAAATGTTCATCAATTTTTATAATTAAGCTAGTAAGTTATCTTGCTCTTGAACATCATAGAGTTGACTTGGCGAGAAGCAAGTGTTTTTGAAATTAAAATTTGAGATTAAAATTTCTAAGACACCAACTTTATCAAAAGTTTGACCTTGTTAAAAATTTTGACCTTTATCTAATGTTTGACCTTTAAAAACAGCATTGCTTTGCGTTCTTTAAAAAAAAAAAAAGAAAACAGAATAATATATTTAGTACAATTATATGTAAGCTAGTACAATAAATAAAGTAAAATAAAGTTCAATGACAAAGAATTTGAATTGTGTTATTAAAATGAATTAAATAAATTACCTGATTTTAAAAGTTACTTTACTAATTTAAAAGTAATATAAGGTTTTAAAAAGATCTATTTTTAAAAAAGTACTGCTTATTTGTGCACTTACTAAAACAAATTTTTTTAAATAAAAAGCATGAAATGACTTGATATATGTATATATATATAATATATATATATATATATATATATATATATATATATATATATATATATATATATATATATATATATATATATATATATATAATGTATATATATATATTATATAGGTATATTATATATATCATATATATATATATATATATATTATATATGATATATATATATATATATATATATATATATATATATATATATATATATATATATATATATATATATATATATAATATATATATATATAATATATATATATATATATATATATATATATTATATATATATATATATATATATATATATATATATATATATATATATATATATATATATATATATATATATATATATATATATATATATTTATTTATATA